ACACACACACACACACACACACACACACACACACACACACACACACACAGCTTCCTCTTCCTTCAGGCCTTTTCTGCCAGCAGGACCCCCTCCCCCACTCCTGAGGGCCCTGAGGGTATAGAGTTGCCAGATTTAGCAACAGAACAAAACTAGCATGCTGAGATAAATTAGAATATCAGGCATAGAGAGGATAATTTTTTAGTATAAGTATGTCCTGTGCCACGTTTGGAACATCCGTATGCTAGCAAATAATGATTGGTTCTTTTGAAATTCGAATTTCACTCTGGCCCTTATAACCCTGCCCCAGGGGATTGAGTGGGAGCTTGGGTGTGTGGCCCAGGGTTAACGGATGATGATTTTCGTGTCCTGGGAATAAGCTAACCCACCTCCTGTCCCCTTGTGGCCAGTGTGGGGAGGGGACAGAGAAGTACCACAGGCCCCGGGCCGGGGCTGGCGGGCGTAGCTGCTCTAGTCGGCCGTGTTTTGTCAGCTCCTGACCCAGACACTAACTTAGTTCCTGATTCCGGTCTCCCATCGGTGCTGTTTCCAGTAGCCCGGCTTCCGCTAGGGGTGGAATGAGAAGGGGCCGTGCAGCCCCAGCCAGCTACCCTTGAAGCCCATGCAGACCCAGTGGTCAGTTCCAGATTCTAAACTGTGTATTTTTTTCATGGTATTGTTAAAACAGTGAGGAAACATTAAAAAAAAAAAAAAAAAAAAAGCCCTGTGGCACGCCGGGTGTCTGTCTCTGCTTCTGGGGAGAGCTGTTTTGAGATGTGGGTGCGTGGGGGTGAGGGTGCTGGGGGGGGGAGGCCCTGGGCTACCTGTGCTCTTGTGGCACTCGGGGCCTGAGGTGGCTTCTCTCCCTGTCCCCTTCGGGGCCCTCCCCTCCTGCGCTGCTCCCCAGCCTCTGGAGGGACAGGGCTCATATGCCCATCTGTCTGGGCAGGCCTTGGGGGCTCTGGGATTGTGGTGCCCCCCCGCCACTTCCCAGTTGGGGGCCCTTGGCTACTTAGTCCCTTAGCTGCTCATCTGTGATACAGGAATCCTGCCACTCTTACAGGGCTGGGCTGCAGACCTAGTCACTGCAATGGGGTTAGCAAAGTTGTTACTAAACCAGGGGAGGCTGTGACCCCCCCCAAGCCCCCAGGTGCCCACATACATGGGAGCGGTCACCCCCGGGGCACAGCAGGCGCCAACGGCCGGGAAAGGGGCTGCCGTCCCTTTCTCAGCTTTGTACTGTCTGACCTGGAAAATGACCTTCCAGGTAGCCTGTTCTCTGTCCAGCCTCGTGGCCTGCGAGGTGGACTGTTGTCCCTGTTGTATAGAAGGAATGTGCTCGAGAGGCCACGTGGCCACCTTCCCCAAGTCACGAAGTAGTAGAATCCGAACATCATGGACTTAAAACCTTGTACCTCTCTGCTCACAGGCGCCTCGAAGCTTCTTTCCTTCAGGTGGTGAGGTTGGGGAGTGAGTCTGTCCTGGGTGGGGACCTCATGACCCCTCCCGCCTATTGGCCCAGCTCCTGCCTCACCACCTTCCCTTGCCCACACCCGCGTTCCCCCCACATTCCCCTCCACTCACCTTCCTTCCTTCCCACCTGGGGGCCGGTGTGGCTGAGTTTCTGGAAACCCTGCCCCTCGCCTGAAGCAGCCACAGAGAGATTTGGGCTTGTGCTCATCCTCCCTGGGAAGCAATTAGAAGCATAATTAAAGTGTCTCCCAGGTCCCTTTGCCCCTTCAGGGGCTCATTCCCCGCTAATGAGGGATGTGGCTGAGGGTGGGGGTTAGAAGCAGGGTGGGGTGGGGGGACAGGGTCCCTGGGGGCTGCAGTCCAGCTCCAGCACTACTGGGAAGAGGAATGTGCTGTTCACTGGAGCCCAGGCAGGTGCCTCCCAGACCATGGAAACCCCCTGGGCCCACCTACAACCCCTCACCCAGGATTCTTGAGGGCCTGAAAGAAGCCAGCCACCCTGAGACCACAGACCTGCTTTTGGACTCTTAGAACAGTGCCAGCCAGTCAGGAAGACCCAGGGGCCTATGGAGAGACCTGGCTGGACTTAGGAGCACGCATTCTAGTTGGGGCTCCGCAGACCCACCAGAGGATGGTATAACCGAGCAGAACAAGCCTAGCCACACCAGCTCTAATCTCAGTTTGCCGTGTGGCGTTGGGCCACTGATTTTTCCCTCTCTGGGTGGCTTCAGTTTCTCCATTTTAAAGTTAGGCGATAGCTCAGTTGTGTTCAACTTTCTACCGGAAACTTTACAATGAGATCGTGTGTTGAACCCCTATCCATAAACAGACTGAGCCAGAGCCTCCCCGGGTGGGTTTGAGTTGGGGGGGGTCCTTACTCTCTCCCCTTTGATCTCTGAGGTTCACCTGAGAACCCCAGGTCCCCTGCAGAGCATTTCTCCCCTTAAAGATGTGCTGTGGGGGTCCCTTCTACCTCCGGGAACCCAAAGCAGGGGCCAGGAACTGCATCTGGGCAATAATTTTCGTCATTTTAATTCAGGTCACAGCAAACATTTCCAAAAATGTGCTGGGCCCCCAAAGTCTCCTGCTCCGGGCAGGGCTGTAATCCTAGCCTAAGGCGCATGAGCACCAGCCCACCCTGGTCCGGCCATCATTGGGGTGTCTCCCCTCCACCCCCGTGCCCTGCAGTGCAGGGCTCTGCTCATGCTTCTCAGGCACACGCTGTTCTGTCCCATTACTGTGGTGAGGGCTGGGTGTCAGCCGTTAGGACCTCCCTGTGCCCAGCATGGCCCTTTGTATTGGCCCTATTTATCCTTATGACAACTCTGTGAGGTCCCTGCGTCTGTATTACCCCCATTTTACAGATGAGAACACGAAGGCATCTGGGCACAGACCTGGGCACAGGCTCCAAAGCAAGCCCTTCCTCTCCACCACTGTCCCAACCTGATGATTTGCACTCCGGGACCCTGGATTTGCACTGGATGACCAGTGGGGCCAGTGAGCTGGCTGAGCAGAGTGGCGCAGGGAGAGGCCGAGCTGGTCGGGTGTGCCTGGCTTGCCTGGGCTGTGTGCCCAAGGGAAAGGGGGTGCTGCTTGCTGCCAGGTTAGGCGCTGGCGGCTGCTGATGCACATCATCCAAAGGGCCCGCCAGGAAGTGCAAAAGTCCTTCCTGGGGCCCCTCAGGGCTGGCCTCTGTCTCTGCTGGGCAGGACCAGGCCTCACAAGCCTGCAGCCTCGGGCCTGGGCTCCTGCTGGTGTTCAAGCTCACCTTTGACTCCGTTCTCCCATGTGCACAAGCCATTCCCCCCTACACCTTGCTTCCAGAAGAAAGAAAGTGGACAAAAGGAATAGAGGGTGTCAGAACACATGAGGGAGGGGTTCTTAAGATCTTTGAATTGTAGGACCTGGTTCCCTCCCCCACCCCCATTTTACAGATGGGCAGACAGAGGCTGCAGGGAAGAAAGCTGGCTGCGTCCCGTGAGCAAAGCAGAGCAGAGACTGAGATGGACTGGACTGGACGGGCTGTGGCACAGCAGACGAGGGGCAAGCCGAGCCGGTGCACCATGTGGGTGCAGGTGCTCACGGAGTCCAGAGTGTGTTGGTGGTCGGGATGACTGGGGGTGGGGGTTGAACTTTTCAGGTGTAGGTGGCACCCCCCCCCACCCATCCCTGGCTCACCCCAGCCCTCACAACAGCCTCCCAAAGGGCCCCACCTTTGCATACTGGGGCAGGCCCTCCCCACCCCCACCCTCACCCCCCCACACCTCGCCCCCGCCCCTGCACGGCACTGACACTGCAGTAATAGCCACATGCAGAGTGTCCCAGGACCCTGAAGGCCCCCACCGAAGATGTGGGAAAGGTAAGTTAGGAATAGTGATGGGAGAGCTTGTCTAGCTGTTTCCCCTTGGCAACAGCCAGATGGGAGATTGGAAAGAACGTTTGGGGGAGGGGGAGGTATTTGCAGGCAGATGGATATCAGCGGCTCTCGCTCTAAAACCTGTTGCTCTAACCCACAGAACTGCTGTTCTCAGGGCGCCTGGGTGGCTCAGTCGTTAAGCGTCTGCCTTCGGTTCAGGTCATGATCCCAGGGTCCTGGGATCGAGCCCCGCATCGGGCTCCCTGCTCAGCGGGAAGCCTGCTTCTCCCTCTCCCACTCCCCCTGCTTGTGTTCCTGCTCTTGCTGTGTCTCTCTCTGTCAAATAAATAAATCTCCCTCCAAGAAGGGAGACTCCCAGGAGGGGACCCGCAGAGCCAGGGATGGCTGCCTTCCCCGGCAGGACTCTAGCCTTGAAATGACCACTTGGCACATTATAAAATACCCACCAAGGCCACAGGGCGCTGCTGAATTTTGTTTGGTTTTTCTGCTTTGTTGCCAAAAGGATTGGAGGCAGCTTACAAAAATATGTAAAATACAATAGGATAAAAATAGATCAAAGCAAAAACAGGGCTGGAACAAACAGTACAGTACACCATACCACAAGGGGGTGGTATGCAGAAATGTTCTCCGGGTGGGCCTCCACAGTTCTCAAAGGTGGGCTGCACATTGGACTCTGAGCTTCCTGTCAGTCAAAGTGAAAAGGGAAATCCACCCATTACAAAAACTCACAAGTCCACAAGGTTAAAGGGATCCCAGAAACAACTCTGCTTTTTCTAAGGTCTGAGAGGGATTCTTGTGAGATCATTGAAGAAGCCAGGAACAGCGTCTCAAGCAATGTCCTCATCAAGAGTCTCCTAACCCATACACTCGCACAAGCCCCATCAGGCTGCCTTTCTGCTCAGTGTCAATCGTGCGCTTGATGCCGAGGTGCAGGTCAATAAAATCAAGTCTATGGAGAGGACCAGAACTAAGTGATCCAAGTGATTCATCCAAGACATATTATTAAGATTCTTGTAAAGCAGGGGT